GTCCTGTTATAGTTACCTCTTGGACCAGATCCTGCGCTCCACTCAGGAGTAGATCGAGGAGTTGCCTCTCCCCTTGTGGGTTCCTGTACCAGCTGCTCCAAGAAGCAGTCATTTAAAGTATCGAGAAATTTTGTCTCTGCATTTCGTCCTGAGTGACATGTACCCAGTCAGTGTGGGGGTAATTGAAATCTCCCACTATTATTGAGTTCTTTATTTTGATAGCCTCTCTAATCTCCCTTAGCATTTCATTGTCACTATCACTGTCCTGGTCAGGTGGTCAATAATAGATCCCTACTGTTATATTCTTATTAGAGCATGGAATTACTATCCATAGAGATTCTATGGAAAATGTGGATTCATTTAAGATTTTTATTACATTTGATTCTACATTTTCTTTCATGTATAGTGCCACTCCCCCCTCCCTGCAGGACCTGTCCGTCTGATATATTTTGTACCCTGAAATGATTGTGTCCCATTGATTGTCCTCACTCCACCAGGTTTCTGTGATGCCTATTATATCAATATCCTTCTTTAACATGAGGTACTCTAGTTCACCAATCTTATTATTTAGACTTCTAGCATTTGTGTACAAGCACTTTAAAAACTTGTAACTGTTTATTTGTCTGCCCTTTTCTGATGTGTCAGATCCTTTATGTGAATGTTTCTCGTCTGATCTGGCCCATACTTGATCCTCTTCCGTCCTCTCCTCCTGACTAAAACCTAGAGACTCTCTGTCAATAGACTCTCCTCTAAGAGAAGTCTCTGTCTGATCCACGTGCGCCTCTGCAGCAATTGGCTTTCCCCCATCTCTTAGTTTAAAAACTGCTCTGCAACCTTTTTAATGTTAAGTGCCAGCAGTCTGGCTCCACTTTGGTTTAGATGGAGCCCATCCTTCCTGTATAGGCTCCCCCATCCCAAAAGTTTTCCCAGTTCGTAATAAATCTAAACCCCTCCTCTCTACACTATCGTCTTATCCACGTCTCATCCAGGCTCTGCCTGCCTACCTGGCCCTGTGCATGGAACTGGTAGCATTTCTGAGAATGCGACCATAGAGGTCCTGGATTTCAGTCTCTTTCCTAGCAGCCTACATTTGGCCTCCAGGATGTCTCCCCTACCCTTCCCTATGTCATTGGTACCTACATGTACCACAACCACCGGCTCCTCCCCAGCACTACACACAAGTCTATCTAGATGCCTCGAGAGATCTGCAACCATCTCACCGGGTGGGCAAGTCACCATACAGTTCTCCCAGTCATCACAAACCCAGCTATCTCTGTTTCTAATGATCGAATCTCCCATTACTAACACCTGCCTTTTCCTAATGACTGGAGTTCCCTCCCCTGGAGAGGTAACCTCAGTGCGAGAGGATACCCCAACATCATCTGGAAGGAGGGTCCCAACTATGGGAAGGTTTCCCTCTGCTCCTGTTGACTGCTTTCCCTCTCTGGCCTTTAATCCTCCTTAACAGTGCAGGGGCTGTCTGACCGGAGGTGGGACAAATCTACAGTGTCCCGGAAAGCCTCATCAACATACCTCTCTGCCTCCTTTAGCTCCTCCAGTTCCACCAGCCTGGTCTCCAAAGCCTGTACACAGTCTCTGAGGGCCTGGAGCTCCTTGCACCGAATGCACACATATGCCACCCGCCCACAGGGCAGGTAATCATACATGCTGCATTGAGTGCAATAAACAGGATAGCCCCCACTCTGCTGCTGGGCTTCTGCCTGCATTCTCTCCTACAGCTACCTAGGTTAATGATAGGGTTTTTGTTGAAATCAAGAAGTTTTGATTACAGAGTACATCAACAGGAAGAGGTAATTCTCCACAAGCAGGTGCTTGTGGATCACCATGGGCATTTCACTGACATCAACGCAGGGTGGTCCGGGGAGGTGCATGACATATGCATCTTCAGGAACACCATCCTGTATAGAAAGCTATAAGCATGCACTTTCTTTCCAGACCAGAAGATTACAGTGAAGGATGTTGAAATGCCCATAGTGATCCCTGGGAGACTCAGCGTACCCCTTACAGACATGGCTCATGAAGCCTTACACAGGAAACCTGAACAGCAGTAAGGAGCGGTTCAAGAACAGGCTGAGTAGGTCCCGGATGACAGCAGAATGTGCCTTTGACAGATTAAAGGTGTGCTGGTGACACCTTTATGGCAGGTTAGACCTCAATGTGGATCATATTCCCATGGTCATAGCTGCGAGTTGTACCTTGCATAATCTTTGTGATACTAAGGGTGAAAGGTTTGCTCAGGGATGGAGTGTTGAGGTGGACCGCTTGGCTGCTGATTTTGAGCAGCCAGATATCAGGGCTATCAGAGGGGCACAGGGGAGGGCAGTTCGAATCAGGGAGGCTTTGAGGCAGCACTCTGAAAATGAGAACCAGTAATGTACATCTCTGATTGGTACTGCAATGTTACATTACATATAGTTTTCCTAGGAAGCAATGGTGACATTTGGGGCCTTACATTCTAGTAAGCAAATGATTAAATTGCCTATGTATGTATCGGTAGTGCCTGCTATCTCAATTTGTAGGAAACAAATAAAGATGTTATCATTCAAAAACTTTGTTTTTATTGCACAAGAAACAACACACCCATGCACAAAGATGCTTGGTGGGAAAGGAGGAACCAGGGAAGGGCAGACTTTCAGAGCTGTGTGTCGGTCCAGCTATCACTGTGAAAGTTGTCAGAGGGGGTGGAGTAAAGGGAAACCGAGAAATCCCGGAAAGCGGAAAGGACTGTGCGTGTGGAGTTTAGGAGCACATGGAAAAGAGTTCTGAATGTGCTGCAGGGGAGGGGAGGCACACAGTTGCTCAGTCTGTAGCATTATTAAGGACTTCAGCATCTGCATTTGCTCCTCCATGACTTCAATCGTCCGCTCAGTAGCATCCTTAACAAACTCCTGGTTTTCTTTTCTGCCCTGCCTTTCAGCTTCCCTCCACTCCTTGTGTTCCCTTTTCTCTGCATTGGAGAAGTGCAGTATCTCCTGGAACATGTCTTCTTTTCTCCATCTTTCTTATCAAGCGGAGACACTCGGCTGGTCACAGAAACACAGATGGCCTTTCACATTTCTATACCCTGAACCCACCTCTGCACTACACAAACCACAGCCACTTACCAGGCGTCTCCTCTACTGCTTCTTGCTTGCGGAAAGCAACTGCTGAGACTAGCTAGACACCTCTAGAGTGCTGAACAGTTCCTGGCTGCCTGCCCCACCAGGCACCCCCGTCGGGAGCTCCACATCATTGTCTAACTCCACCTCTTCATCAGTGACTTTGTGCTCCGGGTTAGGTCCTCTTTCCACTGCTTTCAGGCCAGCCAAAGTTCCACGGGGTTCCTGGTTTTGGAAGAGGGGTCACCACCAAGGATAGCATCCAGCTCCTTATAGAACCGGTAGGTCTTAGGTGCAGCGCCCGAGTGACATTTTGCCTCCCTCGCCTTATGGTACACCTGCCTCAGCTCCTTTATCTTCGCTCTGCATTACAGCATGTCCCGATCATAGCCCTTTTCGCACAAGCCTCGAGAAATCTGCCCGTAGGTATCAAAATTCCTATGGCTCAAGCTGGGACTGCACAGACTTCTCTCCCCAAATACTGAGCAGCTCCAGCACTCCACAATGGTCCAAGCGGGAGATCATTTGCTGCGATAACCTGCCATGGTCACCTGGGAAGATGTGATGAGCCAATAGGAAATGGAATTTCAAAAATTCCTGGGGCTGCTAAGGGGGAGGGGCTGATGGTTGTTTACTTGGCTGCAGGGCAGCGGGGTTCAAACTGCTGACCAGAACGGTCAGGATCGGCAATGTGGGACACCTGGAGGCCAATTAAAGCGATAAAATCAAGAGTGGTGTCTAGACTGGTACTTTGGTGACAGAAATTTTGCACAAAAAGCCTTATGTCTCTTGTCAGGGTGGTTTTATTTTGTCACCAAAACGGCATTTTCGTCACCAAAAGTCACATTGCAATGTGTACGCATTTACTATTTTGCCAACGAAAGCTGCCTTTTGTGGACAAAACTCTATAGTGTAGACAAGGCCTTAATTACTCCAGCCGCCGCAAGCAGTGGTAGCTGTGTCGGCAGGGGAAGCTCTCTTCCTAACATAACGCCGCCCACACCAGCACTTAGGTCGGTGTAATTTATGTCGCTCAGGGGATGGCTTATTCACACCCCTGAGCGACATAATTTATACCAACGTAAGCTGTAGTGTAGACACAGCCAGCCTCTGTTGAGTGCTTTCTCCTTGATCACCTCTTTATTATACACAGAAATTTCCTGAGATTAAATTAGCTTCACAATGCAGCCTCTTATCTTTATTTGTTTGAAAACTGGACTGGTAATCAGGTGGAGAAGGGGTGTAACCTGATCTGGGTTGGTCACACCTGCCCTGATATTTATCATATGGGTCTGACTCTTTCTTATACATCATCAACATGTATATAACTTGTCATGCCAAGAAAGCCTATTTGAACTGAATTAGGTGTGGCCAAAATAAAAAGGGTGGAGCCTTGAAGATTGATTTACAGACCATGTTAAAGGTAGCACTGTATTTAATGGACAAAATGTGAAAAATCCCATTAGATTTCTTAGCTCTCCCCAGTCTCTTTGCCAGCCTCCCAGCTCACACCACATTCCTCCTCCCCTACTTCCCCCTTTGTTCTTTGTATTTTCCCTGTGACCCCGGGTCCCTTATTTCTTCTGTGTTTGTCATTTCTCAGCTCCTCCTCTATCTGTTCTCACTCTGTGTTCCACAATCCTGCCCACTGAAGTGCAACTGTACTTCACTGCCTGGGAAGCCTGTCCGGTGCCTGCAAGACTTTTCATTGCCTCATTCTGTCCTCATAACTCGGTTACTGTAATGTAATCATTACCTGGGTTCTGGAGAGTGAAGGTGCTCCTGCTAAGCAAATATTTACAAACACTGCTGTGAGCTGACTTCAGGAAAGGAAGAGAGGAGTACCCTTTAAAACCTTGTTTCTCTGATTTAATTTAACAGAGAAAATTGTTTGTGACTTTGAGAGCATAAAATCCAAGGAGCAGCTCCTCTTCTTCAGACTGACTTGAGGTGAGTTTGGAGTCTTTTGACTCACTCTGTGCTGAGACTCTGGTTTGATTAGGGGGCTAAGATAAAGCTACTCAGAATTCCAGTTTTTAAATGTTCTCATGTCAAAATACAAGGTTGAGGACTGGGAGCAGCTTGGGAGGAAGGGGGTTGGATTTGTATTGAGCCAATAAGAATGAAAAGGCAGACTTGTAAGTGGTTCTCAGCTAAGCAGAATGGCTTAGAGAGGAAACAGTTTCACATTGTTTGCCCTCAGTAGCACCGTTGTCAGTATGTGATGGGAATAGAGGCAAATTGGGTGAGAAGGGAATTTCTGACAACTCCTGAGCGAGATGGGCATTCTGTGTCAGGGCTCTTTACTTGTTGCTAAATGTTTTATTCCAATGGACTTAATACATGCAACCCTTGTGTGCAGAATTCTGGGCAATGTTGTTCAATATCCAGTAACTCTGACTTGGACCAGACAGAATAAGAATTAGAAGGATGGGGGTGGGTGGCTAAAACGTTCCTACGAATTTACAGCTGCAAGGCAGATTTCTTACCCCTCCATGGCACCATGCCTAACAGCTGTAAGATCCCTCTTCAGGGACTGTATATGCTTCTGTGTTTGAACAGGTCCCAGCACAATTGGGCTCCAATCCTGATTTAGACCTCTAGGAGCTACCATAAAAGTAAACAATGGCACTGTGTTCCTCTAAATCCAGTGCTGAAGGGAAGGTCTCATGTTTTCTCTCGAACTTCTGTCTGGAGGGATGATGGGGAAGAGTGATGCTAAAAGAGCCCTGTGATCCATTTCAGTGATGTAGTGGGAGTGGTGAGTTTGTGCCCGGGTGTTGAATTGTAGTACAGTAGCGTTGCACCAGTCCTGTCTTGCAGCTTGATTCAAAGCCTGCTGAAGTCCAATAGAATTCTTTGTTAAAATCAATAGGCTTTGGATCAGGCCTTTGATACTTACAGGTTTTCAGGTGCTATAATACTTGGAAAGTGACAGTCCTATGTTAGTGACCTCATCTGAAACACTGTATGCAATTCTGGTCTCCCATGTGTAGGAAAGATGAATTCAAATTAGAACAGGTGCGAAGAAGGGCTACTAGGCTGATCCGAGGAATGGAAACCCTACCTTATGAGAGGAGACTCAAAGAGCTTGGCTTGTTTAGCCTAGCCAAATGAAGGGTGAGGGGAGATCTGATTGCTGTCTATAAATACATCACAGGGATAAATACCAGGGAGGGAGAGGACAAGAACAAGAAGCAGAACAAGGAGCAATGGTCTCAAGTTGCAGTGGGGGAGGTCTAGGTTGGATATTAGGAAACACTATTTCACTAGGAGGGTGGTGCAGCACTGGAATGGGTTGTTACCTAGGGAGGTGGTGGAATCTCCATCCTTAGAGGTTTTTAAGGCCTGGCTTGACAAAGCCTTGGGTGGGATGATTTAGTTGGTGTTGATCCTGTTTTGAGCAGGGGATTGGACTAGATGACCTCCTGAGGTCTCTTCCAACCCTAATGTTCTATGGTTTATTTAAGTTAAGTGTCAATGTGGACACAAGAACAAATGGCTATAAATTGGCCATCAACAAGTTTAGGCTCACAATTAGATGAAGCAAAAAGAAAAGGAGTAGTTGTGGCACCTTAGAGACTAACCAATTTATTTGAGCATTTGAGTCTCTAAGGTGCCACAAGTACTCCTTTTCTTTTTGCGAATACAGACTAACACGGCTGTTACTCTGAAACCTGTAATTAGATGAAGGTTTCTAACCATGAAAGGAATGAAATTGTGGAACAGCCTTCCAAGGGGAGCAGTGGGGGCAAAAAACCGAACTGGCTTCAAGACTGAGCTTGATAGGTTTATGGAGAAGATGGTATGATGGGACTGCTACAATGGCATGTGGCCAATCAGCGACTGCCAGTAGCAAAAATTCCCAACGGCTCGTGATGGGACACTAGATGGGGAGGGCTCCGAGTTACTACAGATGAGGGTGAGGTTCTGTGGCCTGAAATCTGCAAGAAGTCAGACTAGATGATCACCATGATGCCTTCTGACCTTAAAGTCTGTGAGTGGTAGAAGTTCCTATATTCTGTGCTAGAGTAGGAGTAGTTCAGTCATGTCTCGGTGATGCATGTTCCTGTGATCTGTTTAAAACAAGGATCATAAAGCTTTTTTTCTCTGCAGAGGTTCCTAGGTTCTGTGCATGGTGATTTGGTCTTGTGTCTGTGCTGGAGATGCCTGGATGAAGTGCCCGTTCTTCAGAGTGCATAATGAGTGTTCTCAGCGATAAGGATCTCTCAGATTACTTTAGATGAGTGGATCACAACAGCTTCAGTGCCACTGAAATTTAGAGGGGAACAAAGGGACTATAGCATAATGCTGTTCTGGTCCAATATATGCAGTTAGACTGACTGAAGTGAGAGAAATGAGTAGGCTGGCATGTGGCTGGTATTTACTGCAGAGTTTCAGTGTACAAAAAGTGGGGAGGTAGGGAATGGTGGGGTGGTTAAATAAAGCATTTTAATTCATTTGGAAAGTAGCACCAGGGTATCCTCCTCCACTAATTCTGCAGAAGCAGGAGAAAGGCGAGGCCCACACACTGTGGAGTATCTGGGAATCCCTAGCTGCGCACAGCATTTGCCCAGTGGTGTTTTGATTGTAATAGTGGGACTTCGGTACTCCTTTGATACATGTTACTGTCAATTGTGCATGAGCAATCTGTAGGGACCAGTAAGGGAAAAGAGGAAATTTGAACTGTGTAGCAGAGATTCTGGTGCCAGTAATGAATTTCTAGGGGATGGGGAATGGTGGCAGGAGCAGGGTTCCTTTGGCAAATCCCAACACCTCCATGTGAATAAACTGTACAGAGTCTGTGATGGTGGAGGAGGGGCAGAGTGACCCATCAGGCCTCCTTTCTGGGCTAAAATAAGTTTGTGATTCCATAAAAACTTTTGCACTACATTCATAGGTAAGAAAGTGTGTTTTCAATGAGACAGGGAATAAAACTTTCATTAGTGGAGTGCTGTGTACCTAATCATGTGTGGCACATCACTGGAAGAGCAGCAGCAGGAAGAGAAATGTTCTCCTTACAGTTTTGGTGGTGATGATTCTTGAGCTAGGTAGATAATCTTCCGTTATGACACCATTCTCTTCATTGACTCCAAATGCCAACGGGACTGGGGGAAGAGAGGGGTGAGAGGGCACACATTTTTCATGTCCCATCAAAAGTCCAGGGTTAAAGGAAAGCTGCTGTGGAAATTAAGAGCTGTCCTAAATCACTGTATTTAATCATAAGGAGGAAACAGTCATCGTGGCACTGTGCTGCAGAGTACAGCTGGATTGCCAATGCAGAATCCAATTTGACAAATGGGGAAGAAGAGACTTTACAAGTTGTTAGTTCTTTTTTGTCTTTGCTGATTTGTCAGTGGACCACTGTTGATCTAGGCTTTGCCTGAGCTAAACACATGTAAGCTCAACCCTTGTTTTGTTGTTTTGGTTTACAGTGATTTAATCTATTCTACACATGCTCTGCAGGGGGAAACCTAGACCAACAGCACTCCACAGTTACACTGTGACTAGCTGAAAACCAAATACATAATGCCAAAAACTTATTTTACAGCAACCTTGGCAGTCTTTGCTTTCTTGTGCTTTCCAGTGGGATTGCCTGGTTCTATTCTGCACTGTCAGACTGGGTCTGCTGTTGGGAAGGCAAAAGAGCAGTTAGTCATAGTTGGAATAAAGGGACTGGCCCACCCACTTCCACTTCTCTTGTATTTTGCCCTTTTCCAGCTCTTGTCTGTGTTTCTTTCTTTGTCCTTCCTGCTAGTTTAAGTAAACAGGTGAACGCAATATATATATATATATATATAAAAACAGGACTGTTCGGTGCTGATAAACTGATATAAATAAATCTATCTCAAACTTTTAGCACTTTACAATTTAAAGAAAAGCCAGGCCGGAAGGAGCCATTGTGATCATCTAGTCTGATCTCCTGTATAACACAGGCAATAGAACTTCCCTCAAATAATTCCTAGAGCAGATCTTTTAGAAAAACAGCCAATCTGGATTTAAAAATTGTCAGTGATGGAGAATCCACCATGCCCCTTGGTAAATTGTTCAAATAGTTAATTACTTTCACCAGTAAAAATTTGCACCTTATTTCCAATCTGAATTTGTCTAGCTTCAACTTCCACCTGCTGGATCATTGAAGAGTCCTGTTTCCAGGAGTGTGTCCTCAATCATAATTGGCAAAAACTATCGTTTTGTAGCTTGCCAATCTTGTAGAGCTTCAGTCCAATAATTCAGATGCTCAAGATCTGGTTTTGCCCAAGTAGCAGTCCTTACCTCTGAGCATGTATGCAATATGTCATAATGAAGAGACCCCATTTTACTGGTCTAAAATCATCTTGGGAGCACTTCAGTGGTCCTGTGGGACATGGGATCTCTCTAGTGAGACTAGGTAAATCTCACAAAATTCAGGACAGGCTACCATATCCTGCCTCAGACAAAGAGGGGGAAGAACCAGTGGTTGCTATATGTATATTGTGTTCACCTGTTTACTAAAACCAACAGGAAGGACAAAGAAAGAAACACAGACAAGAGCTGGAAAAGGGCAAAATACAAGAGAAGTGGAAGTGGGTGGGCCAGTCCCTTTATTCCAACTATGACTAACTGCTCTTTTGCCTTCCCAATAGGAGACCCAGTCTGACAGTGCAGAATAGAACCAGGCAATCCCACTGGAAAGCACAAGAAAGCAAAGACTGCCAAGGTTGCTGTAAAATAAGTTTTTGGCATTATGTATTTGGTTTTCAGCTAGTCACAGTGTAACTGTGGAGTGCTATTGGTCTAGGTTTCCCCCTGCAGAGCATGTGTAGAATAGATTAAATCACTGTTAACCAAAACAACAGAACAAGGGTTGAGCTTACATGTGTTTAGCTCAGGCAAAGCCTAGATCAACAGTGGTCCACTGACAAATCAGTAAAGATAAAACTGAACTAATAACTTGTAAAGTCTCTTCT